TAAAATCTGGAACGAAGTAAATCTTGCTTTAATGTTTTTTGTTACTTATGTTACTTGTACTCGGGTACTTTTTTCACATTATTTTGATTCTTTTCACCATTTTTTTCAAAAAATCACTTCATTTTACATTGACTTATATAGAAAATAAACGGCAGTGACGTTCGACCTGCCAACTACAGTCAATTTAGCGAACTTTATAAAAAGAAGGATAGAAATTTTAAATTTGGTCATTCGCCTCCTATCTAGTCTTCATAGTTAATGCTCATACCTAAATTCACGCGAGATAACCGAATAGTTCAAGCAACGAATGCTCAAAAAAAGGAAATACATGGAACACAATTTTTGACTTCGTATCTTTGTTTGGACTGATTAGGAGGTAAATGTATCAAAAGTCCCCGTTTGTAGCCTTTGAGCCGGAGGAGGAGAGGGGGTCTGAAGGACCCATTTTTCTGTTTTTCGCTTAATAAATTTGCTAAAAGTTTTGATGAGTCAAGTTTTTCGATATCTTGTATAGTTTTCGACATATCAGCTCTTAAAAAAGTCTATAATTTTGGAAAAAAAACATTTTTGCCTCACATATTTTGCTCTTTTTGACCGGATAACTCTTCAATGATGCACCCAAAAAAATGCCTGCCATAGGGTTGTAGAGAATTAAATTTCCTTCAATAATATATATTACTTTACTATTTTATCTATTTTCCTTCAAATATTAAAGTAATTTCAAAATTGTTCGTGAAATCTGAAGTTTTGCGACAACTGTCAACAAATGAATCTTTCATTTTCTCAATATGGATATGCACCATTATATACTTATAGTACTATGTAGTACTGGACGTCTAAATAGCACAGATACTCATTTTAGAATATATAGTTGTGGGTCCTCTGACCAGGTTCCTCACCCTCACACTTAATTAAAGAATATCTAGATCATTTACCATTTTAATGGGACAATAATATGTTGCTACGACCATGTTTCTGCATGTATGAGTGTCTTTAAGACAGCTAAGTTGGATTTGACTGAGATCTGTTTATAAATACGAACCTTAGTGAGGCGTTCGTTGTGGCTTCACGTTGGTTTTCGTGACCTTTTCTTTCGACAGGAAAAGCTAAAATAAATGATCTTCATCAAAGTTATTAAATAAATAAATCTGAAAATTGAAATTTGCGTTTTATTGTGTAATTATTATGTAGTTACATTTTTTTTTTTTTTTTTTTTTTTCATAACCGTAGTGTGTAAAACTAATGTCCACTTTAATTTATATATTGCAGAAATATTAATTATTTGCTAAGCCCATTGTTCTCAGGAACATGCAGTACGAAATAATAGTTTTAACAGCCTAAAAAAAAAATAGTTTGAAATATAATATAATATCACATTATTTTAAGAAATAGATATAAAAACTAAAAATTTTACGTATGTAAGTAGTGTATAATGTGTTACCTACTTATATCTATGTTAATCAAGGTCAATGTTAACTTGGATAATAAAACAGAAAACACCAAACTACGTACAAATTACTATATTATATCTAGGCATTCCAAACTGAATGGCTACCAGTGGGTTATGATATGGCAAAATTATGGCAACCCTGTAGGCCTGGTGATTTCACAATGTCAATGAAATAGATAGTTACATAGATTGATCATCCATATTTTTCAAAATAAACATAAGCTTATGACTTGAAGTAAAAATGTAAGCAATTATTTTTTTTAAATATCTAAAGGCTAATAATTGGTTTTAAAACACATTTTTGCTAAACCGATTCAAATTAATAAATATTTGCCACGCAATATGGCCGCTCGTAAACGACCAGCTTTGAGCCATCTATATAACTATATATGTATCATTGACCCTGTTAATGACAACTTGACAACAGGGTTGCCATATCTAAACTGTCATTACCCACTGGTAGCCATTTGGACAGGTCGTTGGAATGCCTAATTGAAATTAGGCAAAAGCAACAAAGCTGTCAATTTTTCCGCTCGGCCAGCGACAAAGCTGTCACTTAATGTCAGTTCGCGGAAAACGTCAACTTTGCGATTGTGTTTCGAAGCATAAAAGCCTACTTTGGATAATGATCGTAGAAAAATAAATTTATTGCACTTGAGTCACTCTCTGGCCGAGCATGTTCTATATTTAGTTCTATCAGTTTCTAATTCGGTATCATCAGATTCTAAGCTGTGGTAATCTTTCAGGGGTAATTCGATATGGTTTGCCTGAGCTGTGGATATAGAGTTATTGTTAGTTGATTTAGATATGGCAAAAAAATGTTTGCAATTCTTGATCATCATGTATTTGTTGGAGAACGACTGAATCGTAATCAGTCAATGTACCAGAGCTCGAAAAAGTTGATATTTTTCACTACTCCTTTTTTCCGAGATAAAAAGTTTTCTTCGTAATTGCTTCTTCATTCTTTTCTAGGGCCCACTACTCCTAAGAAGGCCTACCGGTAGACCGATGGCATAATCCGACACTGTACCCCCTTGTATCCGCGCCTGGTTACACTTCAGTAGTGATGGGAAGAATCGAGTACTAAGGGATCGAGTAATTTACGGAATCGGGTATATTATTGAATACCGAGTACTGAGTACTTGCATCAACCGAGTATAACTACGATCACCGATACAATTTTCAGAGATTCCAGCGTCTCAAACCTCGAACTCGACCCGACTTCAGGTCTGTTCGGGTTCTTCAAAAATACATTGAGAACTATCAGAGGACTAGTTGACCAGTGGACAGTTTAATAGTTGTATGCGACGAATAATTTGGAATTGAACTGTTCCACTGGTTCTCGGACGGTTTGAATCGAGTTTTAGAGGAACCCGAACAAACCTTGCATATTTTAATTCCGTTTTAGTCAGCACGTCAGCAGTGAGCAGCGCTACAAGATGGTTCGCGATTTGCAGCAGTAACGTCTAATATTTAAAAATCGGAAGCGACTCACATTCCGACTCTGGGCACCTATTCGCGATTCAAGCTAAGTGATACGCCCTCTGGAGGAAATTTGTAGAAGGTCCGTATAGGTAGGATATCGTTCAGTGTTGCCAGAAGTAGCAAAACTTCGCTACGTCGCCGTCGGATTTTAGCTTTTGAAGTGGATAAGACCTTTTATTTAAAAATCAAAATTTGTGTGTGGTAATATGTAATCATACTTTATATTTATTTAAGGATTTTTTTATAAAACCGATTTATTATATTGATTTTTTTTTAAATTTCAGTTCATTTATTAATTTTGTTTTAAAATCAGTTGATCATTTGGCAACATTGGCGTTCGTGTTCATTGTTTACGTTTTAATTTGTATCAATTACAATTCGAGTTTTTTCTTACTTTTTAGCTTTAAATTTGTTTGTTTCTTATAGTATGTGATAGTGTTTATAATTAAAATGAAATCTGCGAAAACGTCCCCAGAAAATTGCAATGTATATGCTGTTAATGTCAAAATCAAAACTGAAGTATTCAATATTTTCCAAGTGCAAGTCGTAAAATTTTGTTTTTTACGATAAATGAATATCTACAAATTCACAATATTGAAATTTTACAAAACTTTGTTTAGAATCAAACTGTAATCTGATTTGTGACGGTTTTATTACCATTTACATGTATACAAAGTACTACATGATTCACTTCATAATATAAGAATAAGTCTAGTAAGATTTTTAAATAAGTTCATCAATAATAAACGTGTGGTACCTGAAATATCCTTTAAACCACATAATAAAACATATCCTGGGTTTAGTCAATACATATTTCTAGATGTTCTTGTAGCAACCAATAGGTGAATATTTCCAACAAATTAGTCATACACATGATAAATATTATATTTATGACGAAAGCACGAGACTTAAACTTAAATTAACACTAAATGAAACTCAAAAACACTATTACAATGAGAATATTATCTAAAAACAGTTAAAACAATCACAAATACAAAATCCGCCCAAAACAAAAACATGTAAATAAACAAACATCCTACTTATAGTGACAAATGACAGGCGCGCGAAAATTATTTTGAATCGCCAATCCTCGACTGGTGCTTTAATCAATGTGAATGCGCATTTACTAAATCCGAATGCGTATTTGCTCAAAAGCGTGTTGTAGCTATTCTTGGTCGTTCGAATTTATATTGCGGGTGCGCATTTGACAGCGAGTGAGTCTTTGCTCTTCGCATTCAAATACGAAGGTCCAAAGAGCTTGTGAAGGTCTAATTGGATGCACGTTTTAATATTGCAAAGTGTTTTTGTTTTGTTTCATAAATTGATTGTGACCTATAGATATGATGGCAAATATATATTTTTTTAAATATCTTATTACGAATTAGAAGAGGCCAATAATCATCCTCGAAGAGTTTATGATGATAGAAAAGATCCTTTCAGACTTTCTGATCAAGCGTTCATCAGATTGTTTCGGTTAATTATATGTGTCTTTTTACTAATATTTTCTATTTTATAACGCTGCAAACTATGTATAGCCAAACAGTACATCAAAAAACATAACCCAAAACCTCGACTTCATGCTCAAAACCATTACTCATACTAATATTGCTTCTTTTTTACGAATAATTGTCACGAAACAAGCGGTGTGAACTTTGACTCCCCTTTCTAGCAGACAATTTAACATAAATAATCGTCGATCATACATGGTTGCCAAGTGGCCATTGGAATTTATAAAAGAGAATTACGAAGGCACAGATACGAAGGGTTAAGAATACGGTTTCTAATGCGTCTTCGCATTGAACCACTCGCATCTCTTCAAAGCGAGCGCTTAAACGCACTAGTCGAAGATAGGTGCCCTGGTCGCCAGTATTCGAATACTACCGATTCCTTTATGAATCGGATATATTATCCGATTCCTGTACTCGAGTACTCCCATCACTACACTTCATTAGACCTATTGCATGATAGTACAGAAGAACTAGTCTCGGATAAAACCTATAACCTAGGGAAGAAACAGGGTGTATGAATGAGACAACAGTTTATCGCGTCGCGACATTATAGGCAAATACGTTACAGAAACAATCTGGTATGTCCCGTAAGTAAAGTTGTTGAAGTCTAATACTGTATGGGTCATATATGCCCCGTACAAATTATTAAAAAATAAGAAACCCTATACAAGACATATTTGCCGTTGCAAACGTGTTAAGGGGGGGCACTGGAAAAGTACCTTTTAATAAGCGAGATAAGTCTAATAGTTTTGTGCCAGTATAAAATTAGATTAATTTATAGCAGTTTAACATTCCATTAATTTGGATAAAAGAAAGTTGATTCTTAAAATGATAGAATTCTTACCGCCATAAACATTTTTAAATCTATCATAACATAACCTCCAGCAGTGATTTCAATTTTTTTTTGGTCCCTTATCATAATCTGTAGAATACATTTTGCATCAGCTGGATATTCATACCAGTTACTTAAGTAGGCACTATTACTAATTTCGTTAGCCTATAAAAAAAATCTCTAAAAACAAAAAAAATTATTGTTTTATTTGACTTACTTGATCCATTAAAGCTTGAGCTGGTATTGAATAACAAAAAATTATTTCATTTAATCCCGCAATTAAATGGAATAGAGCTTCTATTCTATAGTTGATATGTGTGTTGCTAAAACAAAATAACGAAAATCAATCAGATTCTCGTGAAAGATTTAAGAAATAAAAAAAATTGGGATAAAAATTTAATGTTTTTAGAGTTAGCTGATGTCCCTAATACTTACTCACTGGAAATAATGTACATTCTCATACACATTGTCAGAATTATATCACCCAAGAAAAATAACGTTGTTACTGAAAAAATTCTGCTAAATCTAGCTAAGAACCTAAAACAAAAAATAAATTTATTTCGTTAAATTGAAAATGGTGCAAAAAATCACAAACATCGCTTTGGTTTTAGTATTCATAAGACAGCGCTACACATTTTATGGAACAATGTACTGTGCCAGCCTGCACAATATATCCCCTGTAGTAGTGTTAAAGAGATGGCACCAATGAACTGGAGTGGGGTAGAATGCTTGTCAATAGACTTGATGTGCGACTCTATGGGTGAAGATAGGTTATTTTTCATCTCACTCGGGAGTATTTAAAATAACCATTTTCTATTTCACATTGTTATTGTCTGATCCACCAGCATGTGGATTGAACAATAACAATGTAAAACAGAAAATGGTTATTATAAATAGTCCCGAGTGAGATGAACAATAAAAATGGCTGCGCCCATAGAGTCGCATCTAGTTCTAATAGTACAACATGTACATTGGCATTCTACCCCCTCCAGTTCATTGGATGGCACTAATGCAGCGCTAAAGGCGTCTGGCCGCTCAACTACCTCGATATGGCGGTAAATTCAAATATAATTTTAAGACAAATTTAAATTTCCCTCCAAAATCGTAAATTTCCAGCCGCGGAATGGCGGGAATTTTGAAATATATTCATTAGGAAAGTTGGATATTCAAATACCTATTAAACCTTTTTTCATTTTCCTTCCGATATTAAAATTTGCCAGAACTGGTTTAAGACTTTAAATTTAACTTTAGATAATAATACTCGCTATCTTTGTGCAGACCATTTTTGCCTGAGTCTTTTAGTAAGGTTTCCTCAAAACGTAAACTGCTAGTTGGACATTCCGTACCAATTTCATTAGATAATTGTGCATTCAGCTCAAATATACAACCTGAGAATTAGATTTTAGGATATGTTGAGGCTGAAGCACATATATAGCAGAATAAGAAAAACAAGAAATTAGTTGCAAACGTACACTTAATAATTAGTGATGAACAATTTGAACGACCCTTCGAAACGAAGAAAAACAATAAATAAATAAAAGTGAGTCAGAAATTTAAGTCCTAAAGAGAAAAAGTTGTATTTTATTAATATTTGATAAGAGAAATTGTTCAATCCCAGATAACAATTATACATTCTTAGCATATTCTCAGTATATGCTTTTTAAGAATGTGCATATGCTGAGAATATACTTTATTTGCATTTGGAACATTCTCAGAATATACCAAGAATATGCTGCGTGCTATGCAGATGCTGAGAATGTACTCGAGTATGTGTACAGTATGCAATAGGTATCTACTTTAATTTAATAGTACGTTCTAAGTATATGCTTAGTATTTAAATATAGCATATGCTAGACACCCTAATATAGGATGTTTCATTAATATTGAACAATAAAGAATAAGTGTATATAATGAAATCTTTATTTCACAACAATCATACTTATTCTTATTTTTAATACAAATTCTTCCTTTGGCCTTAACTAACCAATATTTCATTTGCTTGATTCCATTGGATCGTCATTGAACCTAAAAAATAAAAAATCAACAAACTTGGTACATATACAAATTAACTGTACATAGCTAATGTAATATTTTAAATATTTTTGTCGAACGTGAAACATTAAAAATTGTACATAGCATTTCACTAACAAAATAGTATATTATGCAACGATCATGTAATGATGGTTATTAATACACGAGCATTAACCGGGATACGAAACGAGCCAAAGGCGAGTTTCGTATGGTTTATGCGAGTGTTTTAATAACCATTACATGAGAGTTGCATACGCTATTTTTTCTACACCCGATAAATAATCAAGACCTATAAATATTCTATTTATATTGGTATTGAACACAATAACAGTAATTACTCGTATTTCTATAAAAAATTCTACAAAATTGTAATTAATGGTATTACCTTGGGTACTGGTATTACCACAGATTTTTGGGGCAAAATATTTTGTACTGCATTTTCTCCTTTCTCCTATATGTGTGGAGGAGTGTTCTATATCGCTGATATCAGACATTTTAATATTATAATTATCGAAGTTTAGCTATCTACGAAAATTTAATACGTTTTGACAACTAAAACAATTACATAGGAATTTAGGACAAACGTCAAACATCATGCTTGATTGAAAAATTGTAGGTTTCTATTGATTAAAAATCTGTATCATAATGAAAAATCTGTATCATAATGGGTATCATTATGAAACGGATTTTGGGCATATAAGTGCATTATTATAATACGGGTGTAGAAAAATATATTTTTGTTAATTACTTACCACCATTTTGTAGTTTTCCTCCCCCTTTAGCTTATTTTCTAGTTCTTCCAGGTCAATTTCTGGCCTTACAGAATTTTTTTCATAGAAAGTGTATGTAATTCTGGTAACACTAAATTTTAGTTTTAATCCACCATTAGTATTAACCATATTAATAAATTCACACTGGCAATTAATATTTGGGATATCCTGTGTTCTAACTTCACTTATAGGTCCTAAAAACTACAAATATAGTAAAATTTGTTTATTTTATATAGAACACACGATGCAATTAATTTTTACTAATTTACTTACTGAAACGAGATGTGAACGAGATACGAGATCAAAGAAATTTCTAGGAATTGTAGGTTATGTTATTCTTCTTCTTCTTCTTCTTATCTTTTATTAAGGTTGTTTTTGGCCTAAACATTAGTGCGTTTGCTAACCAATTAATAGATAGGTATCTGGGAAAAATTCATATAGATATGTATATAAACGTTTTTTTTACATGTATTTGGTGTTAATTTTTACCTGCAAGCATTTAGAACATTCTCAGAATATGAGGTACATGCTGGGTATATGACTTTTAGTATCTTCTTAGAATGTCCTGGTATAGCACGTGCTCAGTATATACTTTTTGGAATATACTTTTAAGGCACGTGCTCAGCGTATACTTTCTAGAATATACTTTCAAAGTATATACTAGGTATGTTCTAAGAACATACTAAAAAGAACATACTAAAAAGAACATAAACAGAACGTTCTTAGTATATTTATAGAACATTGATGTTATGTGGGATAAGACATATGTACACTTTTTGTTTTGTTTTTATAGGAAATACCAAACACCCAACAAAATATGGTCCATTTTTCCAAGAATGGGGGACACTACCTACTATTCATTTTACATACAATTGTTATTTAAAATTGAGCTTATTACCATGTATGTATTACTGTATAATAAATAATTAAAATATATGTTTCAAATATTTTATTTTAATGTAAATATTTTTTGTTTATATTTTTTGGGATTTTATTACGAAAAAAAAAACTAATATTTATGTTAAATACATTATTTTGATGTAATTTTTTTTTAGAGTAATGAATGCCAAAAATAATGTAAATAATTAATAAATTATTTTTGAATGAACCGCGGTTGGTTTAATGCTCTTTTTTATTCTTCTCTTTCTTATTCAGCCTCTAACTGGCAAGTCAATCAGCCACTGTAGTTAAAAAAAATCCGTTCCATACTAATTCGCAGCACTATACGTTTCCAAAAATTAATATCGGATCCGACTATCTTCTTTAATAAAATTTATCTATGGGTATTCCCCGACGTATTTCCCCTATGCTACAATAGTAATCACTGAGATGTACTTAGACTAAACTCATTACATTACATGATATACATAGTAATTACTATCTAAGAGGTACTTACTATGCTCGTTACATGCTACCCGATATACATAGTAAACACTTATATATACCATATGTGTGTGAAGTAATTACACTCATTACACTATGCAATTACGCTCATTGGGAGGTACTTCCTAATTGCACGAAGGGTGGGGGTGGGTACTTAGGATAATTACTAATTACCTCTCATTACCTCCAGTCCAGAACTGGCCAATCAGAACTACTTGCATTGCTTTATCATGCACAAAACAAATACATAAGTGAAAATTACAGAAATGACATGTTACCTACAGTGTTTCCAGAGAAAAATTAAATTGCTCAATCAATTATTTTTTTATAACTTACTTGATAAGAAAATTTTGATGGTCAACATATTCTTTAATTCTTTTGTGTAAAACTTGTTGATAATATACTTCTTTGCCACTATCAAAATGAAACAAATTTGATAATTTGTTATTAAGTATTTGAAACTGAACTTCTGTCATCATTAATAGTGTTAAAATTACGACATCCAAACACAACATTGACAGAAGAGCTGCAGTACAAGCGATATCTTCTAGAATTAAGAAAAAATATCTTGGAACGTAATCGGGTTTATATTTTGTATAAGAAGAAGCTCCTTCGCCCAAAACAAATGGTTTAATTACTGTGGAAGTTATGCAAAGAACGACACACTTGAAGTAAAAATTCTTAAGAAATGTTCCTAGCTTCTGGCTTCGTTTTATATTTTTAGTTTCGCTTGGTGTCCAGAAAGTATCTTTTGTATTATTGAATAGTTCTCGTATAGTTTTTTTATTTCTGTATAAGGTCAACAGCTTTATTAATCCCTAAAAAATTAATAACTGATTTAAGTTGTGAAATATTACACAAGACAACAGACATTTTGGTGCCTGCGATTTTTTTTAACTACTCCCAGGTAATTTTTGTATGCAAAATTCAAAATAGCCATAAGATTGCGACTATCAGATCTAGTTACTTTCCTATCTGTATACAGATATAAGGAAAGTATAGGAATCATGATTTTTTCGACCTCGAGTTTTCGACAGATTTTTACGTTTTGAGGTCCCCTGAATCCGTTTTGACTATTTTCGCGATGGTGTCTGTGTGTGTGTGTGTGCGTGCGTGCGTGCGTGCGTGCGTGCGTGCGTGTGTGTGTGTGTGTGTGTGTGTGTGTGTGTGTGTGTGTGTGTGTGTGTGTGTGTGTGTGTCTGTAGGTCGCATAACTCATGAACCGATACACAGAAAAACACCAAAATTAATAAAAATTAATAAAAATTAATAAAAATTAATAAAAATTAATAAAAATTAATAAAAATTAATAAAAATTAATAAAAATTAATAAAAATTAATAAAAATTAATAAAAATTAATAAAAATTAATAAAAATTAATAAAAATTAATAAAAATTAATAAAAATTAATGAAAATTAATAAAAATTAATAAAAATTAATAAAAATAATAAAAATTAATAAAAATTAATAAAAATTAATAAAAATTAATAAAAATTAATAAAAATTAATAAAAATTAATAAAAATTAATAAAAATTAATAAAAATTAATAAAAATTAATAAAAATTAATAAAAATTAATAAAAATTAATAAAAATTAATAAAAATTAATAAAAATTAATAAAAATTAATAAAAATTAATAAAAATTAATAAAAATTAATAAAAATTAATAAAAATTAATAAAAATTAATAAAAATTAATAAAAATTAATAAAAATTAATAAAAATTAATAAAAATTAATAAAAATTAATAAAAATTAATAAAAATTAATAAAAATTAATAAAAATTAATAAAAATTAATAAAAATTAATAAAAATTAATAAAAATTAATAAAAATTAATAAAAATTAATAAAAATTAATAAAAATTAATAAAAATTAATAAAAATTAATAAAAATTAATAAAAATTAATAAAAATTAATAAAAATTAATAAAAATTAATAAAAATTAATAAAAATTAATAAAAATTAATAAAAATTAATAAAAATTAATAAAAATTAATAAAAATTAATAAAAATTAATAAAAATTAATAAAAATTAATAAAAATTAATAAAAATTAATAAAAATTAATAAAAATTAATAAAAATTAATAAAAATTAATAAAAATTAATAAAAATTAATAAAAATTAATAAAAATTAATAAAAATTAATAAAAATTAATAAAAATTAATAAAAATTAATAAAAATTAATAAAAATTAATAAAAATTAATAAAAATTAATAAAAATTAATAAAAATTAATAAAAATTAATAAAAATTAGTAAAAATTAGTAAAAATTAATAAAAATTAATAAAAATTAATAAAAATTAATAAAAATTAATAAAAATTAATAAAAATTAATAAAAATTAATAAAAATTAATAAAAATTAATAAAAATTAATAAAAATTAATAAAAAATAATAAAAATTAATAAAAATTAATAAAAATTAATAAAAATTAATAAAAATTAATAAAAATTAATAAAAATTAATAAAAATTAATAAAAATTAATAAAAATTAATAAAAATTAATAAAAATTAATAAAAATTAATAAAAATTAATAAAAATTAATAAAAATTAATAAAAATTAATAAAAATTAATAAAAATTAATAAAAATTAATAAAAATTAATAAAAATTAATAAAAATTAATAAAAATTAATAAAAATTAATAAAAATTAATAAAAATTAATAAAAATTAATAAAAATTAATAAAAATTAATAAAAATTAATAAAAATTAATAAAAATTAATAAAAATTAATAAAAATTAATAAAAAATAATAAAAATTAATAAAAATAAATTAATAAAAATAAATTAATAAAAATTAATAAAAATTAATAAAAATTAATAAAAATTAATAAAAATTAATAAAAATTAATAAAAATTAATAAAAATTAATAAAAATTAATAAAAATTAATAAAAATTAATAAAAATTAATAAAAATAATTAAAAATTAATAAAAATTAATAAAAATTAATAAAAATTAATAAAAATTAATAAAAATTAATAAAAATTAATAAAAATTAATAAAAATTAATAAAAATTAATAAAAATTAATAAAAATTAATAAAAATTAATAAAAATTAATAAAAATTAATAAAAATTAATAAAAATTAATAATAATTAATAAAAATTAACAAAAATTAATAAAAATCAATAAAAATTAATAAAAATTAATAAAATTAATAAAAGTTAATAAAAATTAATAGGTTTCGTACCCTTATAGAGTTTGATTTTTACTTCCATACACTAAAACGGACTTAAAGAACACCACATCAACGGACAGTATAAAGATTAAAGGAAATTAAACAATATAATAAAAAAAACCGATTTAACTTATTTTAACAATTTTAATGACACACCTCAAACTCTGTACCAAAGAATTGTCGGATATAAACTCATTATTTTTTTTACAAAAAAACAAGGTTTTAATGACAAAAAAATATATATTTTACCAATAAAAACCTACTGAAGAAAGCACCGATCAGTGCCGAAAGCTTTAACCACACACACACGAGTTTCATTTTCTACTAACACCTAAAAATCCAACAACTACAAGAAAAAAATGAATAAAAGAAGTTTCAGTCACTTTTTTATTTATTATAAATCCATTTGAATTTCTTATTGTTAAAAATTTCTAATTTTGTAAAGGTTTTTTTTTTTGTTACTAGTATTCATTATTGACTAACCTACAATTTTAATCTAAAAATCTTATAAACTAATTACTTATCTAAGAAGTCCCCATTGGGCTGTCTTAATTGTATCTATAGGAAAGCATCACAAGTTGTCGTGTTGATTTATTACACACCATAAAGGTGAACTACAAAGACCGAATACCACAATATTTTTTTCCCCAAAGTAGCCTTTAAACTTAAAGTGTGTTAGGTGGAAAGGCGAAAATCTATATTAGGGGCGAGGGTAGCCATGTTAGTGGTTAGGAGTAAGTAGGTGAGTACGAAGGTGTAAAGAAAAAGGTTCTGTGTGTCTCTCAAAGTCAATTTTGATTGGCGACTGGTTTCGAAGTAGTTATTTCATTATCCAGAACACCTAAATGGAAAGTAATGATATCATGTATTGAAAAATGGAAAATATTAAATACAAAAAATGAAAATTGAACAAAAAACAATCAAATGTCAAAGGGCAGGGTTAATAATAATTTGACTTAATATGACATATCCATTACGGATAAGCTACGTATTTTAACATAAAAAGATTTAAAGGTCCTTTGTAAATTTCTATAGATACCACCTACTCTTTTGACTTATTGTCGGTTTGAAAGTAAGCCTAAAAATATTTTTCTATTAAATTTGTTTAATAATATTCATTAAACTCTTTAATACTTTCTAGTAATTGTTTAATAACCCTTAGTTAATATTAACGGTTTTATCACTTCCACCCGTCTAGGACTCGAGGAAACTATAGTATTCGTGCGTGGTCAAAGATCCACGATCACGTTGACCACACGCCACATGCGACTAACTTAACTACATTCATTTTCTTTTGATTAGTGTTAATAAAAAGGTTTCTTAATTGTTGCATGGTTGGATTATGATACCTAAGATGGTTGTGTGTTTGTAGTGCAGTTGGTGTTTTATTTACATTTTACTAGGCGCAGAATGGAGTATGATAAACAATTTAATTACACATTTTGTGGTTAGTAATGTAAGAAACAATCGCCGATGAATGTACCAATTAACGTTTTGCATACCCTTTAGGCCGATTTCATATGTGACTGCGTTCGTATATTATTATTATTATTATTATTATTTTTTTTTTGGTGTGTCATCGGCTTCAACTGCTAGGGTTATTTCGCCTAGTGTTCTGTGTAGGTTTTGTTACTGTTTCCCAGCGCCACTTTAGAAACAGCACTGTTAATTAGAACCCAACAGTGAATGGTCGATTGGGGAATCCTACCAAGGCATCAGAATTAATTTTAAATAATTAAATTAAATGAAAAAATTCCGGCCAACGGTGGGATTCGAACCTGGGACCCTTGGATCCACAGGCAGAGACTCTACCACTGAGCCACCCACCCCCTATTATTATTATTATTATTATTTATTAATATTATTATTATTATTATTATTATTTTTGTTGTTGTTGTTGTTGTTGTTGTTGTTATTATTATTAATATTATTATTATTATTATTATTATTATTATTATTATTATTATTATTATTATTATTATTATTATTATTATTATTATTATTATTATTATTATTATTATTAATTATTATTATTATTATTATTATTATTATTATTATTATTATTATTATTATTATTATTATTATTATTATTATTTGAGAGAAGTATCTCAGGTTAACCTGGGTTATTTTTGCAGTATTCTGGGGTGCTGGTGCACCAACAGTATATGCTTGGATTCGGCTAATTTGTCTGTGAGCCAAGAAATCTTCGGACAATGTGGCACGTGTCAAGCACCACAGATTTATTTATTTGTGTTAAGTTGTGTTTAACATTCAGTTGTTCTAGATGTTTTGTAAGTGTAAGTGGCACAATTCCAGTTGCAGATATTACTAATGGGTGTATTTTAACTGTATTCACTCTCCACATTTGTTTGATTTCCGTAGCTAGTTCGAGATATTTATTAATTTTTGTAGCATATGTGGTTTGGATATTATGACTGAGGGGTACTGCTACGTCTATTATTGCTACTTCCTTCTTCAATTTATCAAAGACTAAAATGTCTGGTCGATTAGCGTTGATGCGGATGTCAGTGCGTATTTCTCTGTCCCAGTATAGTTTGTATTGTAAGTTCTCTAATACAGGAACAGGATCGTATTTGTAGTAGGGTTTGTCATCATT